AATTTCTGACCCTTTTCGGTGCCTTGCTTTATGGATGTAGCACCCACCCTTCTTGTGAGAAGGTTGTGATGTTTGCCTCAGTGTGTAATATATACAAAGATGCACCCTATAGTCTGTCCTGATGCTGGAATTTTAAATTGCTAATTTACATTGTAAGTTATATACACATGGATTTGTTGTTAGAAACTCTAATCTTAAGTTACTACTTACATCCAATGTAAAACTTAAGACAGTAGCCCTGGAAGGTTTTCCACTGAGTAGCATTCAGTTTTATTCTTTTGGACAGCACATAAAAAAGAAAGAACTTTTGTTGTTGATAATTGGGGGGGGGTGTAATATGTGTGGCCAATGCCTGTGGAGGTCAGAGGTGAATATTGAACCCTCATCTGTCTCCCTATGCAGGGCTCACAGTCACACCCCACACCAGCTTTGTTGCATGGGTTCTGGACATTCAAACTCAGGTTCTTGCACTTATAGTAGCAGGAACCTTTACCCACTGAACCATCTCTTCAGTTCCAAAAAAGCTAAGACTCACAGCTCAGTCCCTGTGTTCACTTACACGTATAACACAGTTCTCGTATTTCGTGTGAGGCACTGTTATTTTCCATTACAGTTTTTCAGTGAGGGCCGCAATGTTGCTCAGAGTTAGAGACATGCATCATGTCTTGCATTTGATTCCCAGCACTAGAAGAGGAAATAAAAGATCTCACTGATCACTGCCTGCATATGTAGCTGCAATAGTATAGAGGCTTATTTGTAATAATTGCTGATGTTTGTGACATATCTGGCCTTAGGGACTCAGTGTGGCCCCTGAGGATCCACGCTTCTTGGTTCCCAACTACTTTCATCTGCAACAGTCCCCTGCCTGCTCCTCTGTCTGGAAAAGAATGGGGCAGTGGGGTGGTGGGGGTGCTTGGTGAGTTTGGATGCCACCCTGCAAGTGCTGCTCTGACCCATAGACCCAGGTGGACTATGGGGTGGGCACGTTCCTTGAGAAATGAGTCTCGTCTGTTTTGAAGACACATGAGCTTTGTGTCCACTTCAGAGCTGCCATCTCTAACTAGCATGCTCATAAGGACACTGGGGCTGCAGTAGGGTTTCACTGGGGCCGTGGTTCCAGTTCCCAGGCATCCAACCCTGATGACACTTAACAACGCTGGTGACATGCCTCTGTGTGAATACAGCACACTCTCGCTCCCATGCTCGTTTTAAAGAGCAAGGCCGCAAAGCCGAGTGGTGTGCCCCTGTGATCCCAGAGTGTAGGAGACCATGCAGGAGGATCTCAAGTTGGAAGATAGCCTGGGATATGTGAGACCCTAGATCAAAAAGGCAAAGGAGACCAGGCTGTGCTAGCACATGCCTTTAATCGTCTTGGCAGCACTTGGGAGGCAGAGGGAGGCAGATCTCCCAAGTTCGAGGCCAGCCTTGTCTACACAGAGAAATCCTGTCTCAAAATAAAATAAAATAAGGCAAAGGAGGTAGACTATAAGCAGAGTGAACGATCAAATGAGTGAATGGGGAAAGCGGTCCTGAATTTAGTTCGTCGGCGTTTAATGAGTGAGCATTAAGGTCTGTGTGTTTGTTCACCTTTCCAGTAATGTCACTGTGACATGCCCATTTTAGAGACTCCAGTGTGTGTTCTTACTGTTATGTACATTAAACAAGCAGTGTCATTACATTGGAGGATTATTTAATGGCGTGTCAGAAGAGAACATAAGTAACTTTGTTACCTGTACATCTTCACCCTGGAGGAAAAAATGAGTAATACTGTTTGAAATTGATACCATTACTACTTAGAGATAGTCACAAGAAATGCCCAGTCTGCCGTGGCTTGCAGTTTCGTCTCCCTAGTTTTGTGTGGTCAGCATGTTTGTTGGAAATATTTCTGTATCGCAGATTATTCACAGTGGCTTGACTGATGTTTTTTTATAACATGGATTTAAGATGTCACTCTGCGGCAGTGACAACCTAAAGATGTGGTGATGGCCACAGATTGTCTCTGTCAGGGTCTAGGCAGGAGCCTCCACGTGTCATACCATCCTTGATTTCTGTCACAAACAGGTGACAGAAACTCGTTGGCATGCTGTACACCTCTAAAGTCAAGGCCTCCAGGGGACTCACCTCTCCCCGCTGCTTCTGTGACGTATTCTGTTGGAGTGCTTGCCTAGCGTGACGGAGGCTCTGCTCAGTCTTCAGCACTGAAAAATACAACACTCCGCTGCCTGAATCTTCATTGGTTTGGGAATGTTTTGAAACCTGTGTTTCTCAGTCAGACACATCTTCCATTGACTGATGAAATACCAGTTTAAATCCGTTTATTCTGACTAAACACTCTCTTGCACCTGATCCCAACTCTCCTGATAATAGATTAGTAAAAACCTTCCATTTCCTTCCTCGATGAGGCTTTTCTTCTTTGGGTGTTTGGGAAATCGTTGCTACCACGCAAGGAGGAAACGTGGCCACAAGCGAGCAGATTCCCCAGCATGCCTCGGAGAATTCAGTGCACTTTGTGACTTGTGGAGGTAGCGTGGAAAGTGGCATGTGCCAAATGACCATCTCGGCAGAAACCCCCGAAAGTTACTCTGGACTGTGTTGTGAGAGTCCCCACAGCTGAGATGCGACACCCGAAGAGAAGCCCCAACTTGTTGCATACCTGCCTTGCTCTCCACGCCTTACCGAGATGCATAGAGCGCAGGTTGGGGTAAACTCTAGAACCCGCTGCCCAGAGGGAACCTCATCCTCTGGCCGCTCACACAGCACTCAGGTATACGTGCCTGCTTCTGCAGCTTGCTACGGGCCTCACCACAGCCAGACACACGGCCTCTGTTGGATGCTCGTCTTGGCAGTGTTTGTTGCTCTCGCCGTCAGTGCTGGCTGTGTCCTTGGCTTTTATCGTTTGCCTGGAGCTGAGCTCATTTGGCCAGTTTGAAACTAGGATCTCTCCAGCAAAACAGTGAGGATGTATATAGATGGTCCCTGGGTTTTTGCTAAACTACATTTCAACAGTTTGTGAGTTGCCTTTTAGATCTCCCTGTCCCTTGATAATCACATGCTATGCCCTTCTAGTACCAGTAGTTGGGGTAAAGGGGAGGGAAAGTCGTAATGGCAATACTGCCTGTCTCTCGTGCACAATTTCTGACTGATACCAAATAAATCTATTTCTTTTGTTGGTTTTTTTATTGTATGGTTAAAGTGATATTTATATAGCTAATACAGAATTGATAGTGTCAGCCAAGCAGAGGACGAATGTACCAGCTCCATAATTCCTCAAATGAACGTCATTGGTATGAATGAGAGTGGTTGGAGTTGGGACTGCAAGTTAGGTGGAAACTCTGCCATTATTTTCCAGGCCTTCTGCCGACTGCTGCTTCATCATGCAAAGTACATTGGCACCTCTCTTCCAGTCTTTTGCTGGACAAGGATCCCATGTTGTTGGGCTGTAGCAAACACAGCTAAGAAAATGCAAGAACCAAGAACTCCAAAATAGCATTCGTAGCAGGGGAGATGGTTCAGTCAGTGAAATGTTTGTCATGCACGCATGAGGACCTGAGCTCAAATCCCAGAACCCATGTGAAAATGTGGGTGTGGTGTGTGCACTATTGGTAAGCAGGGACAGGTGGATCCCTAGGACTTTCTGGGCAACCAGCCTGGCATGCATGGTGAGCTCCAGGACAATGAGGGACCCTAGTTCAAAGAACAAGATGGACTCTGCCTGAGGAATGATACCCAGAGTCAACCTCTGATCTTTCCTTCACATGTTGCATGTGTGCGTGCACACAGATACAGAAAACAAATGCACGCACAAGTATACGAGAGGCAGCTCTCGTTCTTCATACACACCTGGCCAGTGTTGAGTTTCTAGTATCCTTCATGCATCATCTGGACGAGACAAGCTAGCTTTCCAGTTAGTCACATCTTTAACCTATCTAGAAGGAAGTGCCCAAGACTGGAGTAAATCATTTTCATAAACCTTGTTCATGTTTACCTGCGGTTTCACTAAATGGGAGTAGAGAATTGGTATCTGTAAATTGGATTATTTCTCAGTAAACCAATAGGTGCCAATAAGGATCTCTGTGTCTCATTGCTTTTTTTTTATCAGCTAATTGTGAGAAGGGTTTGCCTCTATACCCAGGATTTTCCAGCTCTCATGAGTGTGTGTGCAGTAGAAGCAGCTGTGCACTATGGGGGAGGTAGTTGTTTTGATCTGATTTGTGCCCAGGTCCTCTGAACCCCAGAGGTCAAGCCACAAGTGCTGTGACCGCAGGACATACATGATCCTGGCCATTGGGTGCTCTAGTCTGGGGTCTGACCCTAGGTAACTCCCAAAGTCTGAGAGGGGACTTGTGAGTCCCATAACCAATGCCACACTGGTCCCATTCAAGACATGAAGAATGATGCTGTGTAGTTGGTCAAGAAAGCAAGGAGCACAGCTTATCCGAAATTACAGACTTCCTTCCTAGATACGGATTCATCAGTAGCATACTTACTGAATAGAAAACAACAAAAAACTTTTTCTTTCCTTCTTATGTCCTGCAGTTTATAAGATGTATCCGTGACTAAGCCACTCATACTTATTCAGACTCTGCGCTCTTGCGAAGCTCTTGCGTTTATAGAAGGATTAAGTGCGTGTTGAAATGCTCCCAACAGTTCTGTCCTGCCTTCTTTTTAAACTGGGTCCAACTCTGCCCCCAAACCCTAAATGGCCTTCTGTGCCTCTTTCCTGGCTGGCCACATGCTCCCAGCCCTACAAGAGGATCCCTTGCCCTTCCTTTTGGATGTAAGCACAGAGTGCCCGTCACCTTCCCTTCACACTTCCAGGTCTCCTGGTGACAGCTTGGTGCCTGCCTGGTGCCTCATCTTAGACCTCTGCCTTCACCCCTCCCCCTTTCGCCGCATCCATACCGAGTCCTGGACCTACTGTCTCTTTGTGCAATGGGATGGTTTTTCTGCCCCTCGGGGGAACAGAGAGCAACATTAACACTTTGCTTTCTTCTTCACAGACACGAGACGACTTCCTGGGTCAAGTGGACGTGCCTCTTAGTCACCTTCCGGTAAGGACAGACAGTTCCAGACTGTTGCATGCTAGGGGTAGGGTTTTAGGGATATCTGGCTAGGGTGTCTGTGGAGTATGACAGGCATGGCAAAAGGGCTGAAATGGGGATGTGAGCTCTGGCCTTGGCTCCTTGGGAGAAGGTGGCCCTCTGGAGGGGGTCACATAGAGGTTAATTTAGCTGTAAAAATCCCTGTGTCTGAATCACATGAAAGCCCTTGTCAACAGCTCTGCCTTGCTCCTCCTACTCCTAGCTCCTCCACCTTTAGATACAGCCCCTTATGGAATAGTTATCTTCTCCTGTCTTTAGCGTCGTTTTTGTTTCCCATGCGGCCTTTGGTCTGGCTTGTTGTTCACTTCCCTTTGGTTAAATAAAGCAACTACATCTGCACAGGCTGCCGTTTCCCAGGTTTTATGTTTACGACTTTCCATCTGCTCAGAGATGGAAGAGAACAGTTGGTTCTGAGTATGCTTATCCACTGGAAGGTTCCGCCCTCACCTCAGAGTGTTCCAGGTTAGCCTCTGTGGCTCTGCCTCCCTTCCTCCCTGCTCAGCAAGCAGTGGGGGCTGTGGACTGTGACTGCGGTTTGGGGAGTCACCTGCACACAGCATCGGTGTGAATAGGATGGGAGACAAGAGCTGGAAGCCTTGGTGACAGTGGTGCCTCATAGACCAGCTGCCCTCTCCTGGATTGTCCTGCCCACCTCCTGGCCACCTTTCCCCAAACAGCTCAAAGTGTCATAAGTAGCAGCTACAAGAGGAGAGTCAAATATTTCTGCCTTACAAGGGCATTGTGTTTTTCACTCCTTGTGCCCGCACGTAGCATAAATAGTCTATAAACTAAAGTGCCTGGAGGGATCTAGTGCGAACCTGCTATGTGGAAATGGGGGCTGTGCCCGATGGGGAACACCAGGGAAGACTCCTACCAGGCAAGCTTTGAAGCTCTGCTGAGAAGGAATGCAGCCAGCAGCAAGCCATTTACTCTCTCACTTGGAAGCTCAGAGAGTCTTCGAAAGTGCATTAGGATATTTTTTGTTTGTAAGTACAAAGAGGAACTTCAGGTGCCTTATGGGTGTACTGCATAGTGCTTCTTTGGGAATCATATCCGAAACCTAGTATTTTTTTTCTTAATTTTTTTTTTAACATGGGAGGAGTAGGCATGAGTACGTGCCCACAGAGACTGAAACATGGTGTGTCAGATACCGTGGAGCTGGAGCTACAGGCCTTGTGGATGCTAAGATGTGGACTTTAGGCCTCTGGTAGACCAGAAAGCGCTCTGAACCACTGACCCGTCTCTCCAGCCCCAAACCTGGTGATTCTTTTCAGTTTTCACTCAGAGGCTGTGCATGCTCAGAAACTGCAAGGAAAGGTGTCATAGTTAGGGTCACTGCTGCTGCACTGAAACACCGTGACCAGAGCGATTTGGGGAGCAAGGGGTTTATTCAGCTTGTGTTTCCCCATCATCAAAGGAGGACAGGACAGGAACTCAAGCACTGAAGCCAAAGAGGAATAACTGTTCCTGATGGCATGCTCAGCCTGCTTTGTTACAGAACCCAGGACCACCAGCCCACGGATGGCACCACCTGTGATGAGCTGGGGCTCCCCCTTCAGTCACTAAGAAAATGCCCTCCAGGCTTTCTGCAGCCCAATCACATGAAGGCATTTACTCAGTTGGGGCTCCCGCCCCTCTCACGACTAGTCTGTGTCAAGATGACATAGAAGTAGCCAGGACACAAGGCTCAGGCATTCCCGACTCAGTAGGTTTTCCCTATCATGTTCTTCAGTTAAATCTAGAGAGGCATACTTTGAGACAATGTTGATCAGTTAGCCCTTCTCATGTGACTGTCCCTAGCAACTCTTCCCAAAAATAATAAGCATGTGCCCTTCGGGGGGGGGGGGGGGGGTGGAGAGGAAGGATGGACTAATAGTCTTTAGGAGTCGTAACTGAGGGGCTGGGGAGATGGCGTAGGAAGTAGTTCAGAGCACTTACTGTGCTCTTCCAGACAACCCGAGTTCAGAACTCAGCCACCATGTCTAGTGGCTCCCTGCCACTGGAAATCCAGCTCCAAGGGTCCTGGCATCATCAGGTCTCTGCAGGCACTCACACACGTAGCATACAGAGTACACACGATTGGTTGGTTGGTTGGTGGATTGGTGGATTATAGCAAAAGGAAGGGGGTGGGGAATGCTAACTGTGGTAGCACAGATCTTTAATCCCTGCACTTGGGAGGCAGAGGCAGGCCATCTCTTTGAGTTTGAGGCCAGCCAGGGAGAAGAGAGTCATCAGTGAAAGTTTCACCAAGTGTCTCAGTGTGCCCTCCGTGTGTGTGATTTAGCAGTGGCTGGCTTTAAAGGTGGCATAGCTTCCAGAGAGTAGAGACATGTTCTTTGGAGGCTAAGTCAGTACAGGGAATAATTGGGCTTTGGAATTTTGAGTGTCAGCTTGCAGGGAAGTTGCTACTAACAAGGCCCTACACTAGAATAGAAGCCAGCTGATTAAGATCATTATGGGATCACAGTACATCGATATATGAAAAGGGCCTAATGAAAGTCAATATTTCAGGCAATTAATATATACTGAGAATTTTTTTTTTAATTTTAAGACCCCACAGATAGGACATCCTTTTTGTTCTGGGCATGCCCAGAGAGAAGCCTATATTATAGCACCATAAGCCCCTAGATAGACCAGCAGTTCTCAGCCTTTCTACTTTTGTAACCCTTTAATACAGTTCCTCATATGGTAGTGACCCCCAAATATTGCTACTTCTTAACTATAATTTAGCTACTGTTTTGAATCATAATGTTAGTATTCGTGTTTTCCAGAGGTCTCAGGTAATCCCTGTGAAAGAGTCGTCCAATCCCCTAACAGGGTCATGACCCACAGGTTGAGAACCTTTGCTGTAATGCAAATTGATTAGCCGTTTGAGTTAACTACCTTCAAGGAGATGGACCACATTAAAAACTAAAACAGAGGAGGTGAAGATACATTTCTGGTGTTCCATGTCATAGCAGAAGCCAAGTGGTATATTCTGCATGTACTTGGCCTTGTGACCCTGGATTTGAAGTACTGTTACGTGTGTTATTTGGCTGTGTGTTATAGAACCCTTGTGGGGAAACTGCACAAATGCTCATCCTGTGTGGTAATGCAGTGTGAGAATGTGTTGCGCATGCTCGGTCTATCTTGTGGCGTACATAATGGATGTTCTGTCTTGAGAGGTACATGGCTGGAGTATCTGTGGCCTACAGTCAACATTTGTCAGAAATATCCCATTTTCAGTAAAAGAAACAAAGATGGTGAAAATTTGTTCCAGTTGTCCTTTTAATTATGAATAAGGAGAGGATTGGGGCTGAGAGAGGGCTCAGTGCTTAAGAGCGTTTGCTGATCTTGGGAAGGACCGGAAGTTGGGCTCCCAGCATCCACATCAGATGTCACAGAGCAGCTAACAACTCCAGCGTGAGAGACTAACCCCCCTTCTTCTGGCTTCTGTGGGCGCCACATGCGCACACACATACACACTCATATACATAAATAATGATGAGAAAAGTCTTTAAATAATGGAGAAGATCCATGGAGCGAGAGCTAGAATGTGGGGAACAGCGGCCCTGCTGGCCTCTGCTCCTAGCATTAAGGGTTAAGGGACATGATTATGTATAGATGTCTTAGCTAGGGTTTCTCTTGCTGCAGAGAAACACCACGACCAAAGAGCACATTGGGGAGGAAAAGGTTTATTAAGTTTGCACTTCAGCATTGCTGTTTAGCACTGAAGGAAGTCAGGACAAAATCTCAGACAGGGAAGGATCCTGGAGGCAGGAGCTGATGCAGATGCCATGGAAGGGGGCTGCTTACTGACTTGCTTCCCCTGATACCAGCCCAGGGAAGGCATCACCCACCAAGGGCAGTTCCCTCTCCCATTAATCACTAACTGAGAAAATACCTTACAGCTGGACCTCTTGGAGGCATTTCCTCAGCTGAGGCTCCTTCCTCTCTTATGACTCCAGCTTGTGTCATTGACACACAAAACCAGCCAGTACAATCTGGTTATTAATTGATAGTATAACCCAATTAGCAGCTGAAGAAATATGTACTGATAGATGGAATTCTGATCTTTGTGGATGAATCAGTGAAGCAAGTTCTCCCTCATGGGAGAACTTTCACATCTTTAACCTATCTAGAAGGAAGTGCCCAAGACTGGAGTAAATCATTTTCATAAACCTTGTTCATGTTTACCTGCGGTTTCACTAAATGGGAGTAGAGAATTGGTATCTGTAAATTGGATTATTTCTCAGTAAACCAATAGGTGCCAATAAGGATCTCTGTGTCTCATTGCTTTTTTTTTTTATCAGCTAATTGTGAGAAGGGTTTGACTGTATGCCCAGGATTTTCCAGCTCTCATGAGTGTGTCTAGGTTGTCTGGGATTGTGAATTGTAGGCTGGTGTTCTTTGCTTTAGGCTAAAAGCCACTAGTGCGTGAGTACATGTGATATTTGTCTTTCTGGGTGTGGGTTACCTCACTCAATATGATGTTTTCTAGATCCATCCATTTGCCTGCAAATTTCAAGGTGTCATTATTTTTTCCCACTGTGTAGTAAGTACTCCATTTTGTAAGTGTACCACATTTTCTTTATCCATTCTTCTGTTGAGTGGCATTTAGGTTGTTTCCAGGTTCTGGCTATGACAAATAATGCTGCTATGAACATAGTTGAGCATATCTCCTTGTGGTATGATTGAGAATCCTTTAGGTATATACCCAACAGTAATAGTATTGTTTGGTCCTGAGGTAGGCTGTTTCCTAATTTTCTGAGAAATCACCATACTGATTTCCAAAGCATCTGTACAAGTTTGCACTCCCACCAGCAATGGAAGATCATTCCCTTTTCCCCACAACCTCTCCAAGCATAAGTTGTCACCAGTGTTTTTGATCTTGGCCATTCTTACAGGTGTAAGATGGAATCTCAGAGTTGTTTTGATTTGCATTCCTCTGATGACTAAGGATGTTGAGC